CTCGAGAAGAGGGAAACTTGGGTTTCCAATTCTTTGGATCATCAGGATTTTGTCAGTTGGCAGAATGGCATGAAGGATACACCTTATGAAAATGTTTGATTGGGATTCACATCATATTTCACGTTTCGCAGTTACAAAAGTGCATCATAGATTAGGAAGCGATAGTATCATTGGATGACATTCAGGTCGGTGAGCGCTTGGATTCTATTGAAAGGCTTGTGGCCATACTGGAGGGAAGAGTGAAGGTTCTGTAGGACAAGGAGGTACCTTTGGTAAGGGTACAGTGGGAGCACCAAACAGGGTCCGAGTGGACGTGGGATCCGGAGGCAGAGTGCGGGAGCACTATCCGAGGATGTTCACCGCAGCAAACTTCGAGGATGAAGTCTAGTTTAAGTGGGGGAGAATTGTAACGCCCCAATTCTCGAATACCCATTTATGGTTATAAATTCTCATGAGTTTAAGGTCTACTCGACAAGTTGGTTGCCTGACTCGTCGAATAGCAGCGGGTTTGGGCCACATGTTTAAGTGACCAACTCGTCGAGTCGGAAGAGTGACTCGACGAGCTGGAGCTGGAGGGTGAAACCCTAATTTCCGGGGTTTAACACCCTATTTAAGGGACCATTAGCCTCCCTTAGTTCCTTTGCAGCCTCTTGAGAGTCCAAAAACCCTAATTCGTGTGAGTGTGCTCCATTTGTGTGTTTTAAAGCTTTGGAAGGTGTATCTTTGTAAGAAGAACTTGAAGAGCAAGTGACTAGGAGCAAAGGACTTGTGGGGATCTGATATCTACCTCAGATGGTATCTTTTGGAAGGTATCAAGTCGTTACCTTGACCTCATTTCATTTTAGATCTCATTTGGTTTAAGTTTTGGGCTTTTCTAGCATATTGTGAAGCTATTTTGGGTATGAGCTCAAATATGAAGTTGTAACTTCAGATTTGAACTCTCCTTGGTCTCTAAATCCATAAAGTTGTAAGCTTTTGCAAGAATGAACCCCTCCTTAAGTGTAAAACCCCATTTCAAGCTTGGTTTTGGTATTTTGAGTCATTAGAGCCTTGCATGCACGTAAAGTTTGCAACTTTACGTGATAAGCATGCCTTGGGAAGTTGGATCTGCAGTATGGAGCCTTAGCATGGCTTAAAAAGTATCTGTTTGGATGAAGGATTGAAGGGACTCGACGAGTCTCATAGCAGACTCGACGAGTCATATGAAGATGGTTATGGACACTATCAATCTCTCTCTCTCTCTCTCTCTCTCTCTATCTCTCTCTCCCAATTCTCTCTCGCTACTATTTGTAAACACTTGGGACCATCCTAACACTTAAATTAGTTGAAAATCCCTTGAAACAGGAGGAAAATACGAAAAACCACACCATAAGAGCGAGACCCTCGCATGAAGCAAACCCTCCTAGGCCATTTCGCTTCTGATACCTTCGGGTCGAGCCAAGAAGTTTTGCCCTTAGCCTCGGAACGAAACCCTTCTCGCTTCGAACACCTTAGCATGGCAACTGAGGAGGTTCGTCCGTGTCGAATAGATTCGCTTCGGGCATCTTCGCTTGGGAGTCGACCTTCGCGCGAACCCACCTTCGCCTCAACAGCTCTCGCTTCCAACCTTCTCTTCGCGACCAGTCTTCTTGCCCTAGCAAATTCGCTTCTCAAGCCCGGTTTTTGACCACTTTCGCGTTTTAAGCCCGTTTTTGATGATTTTGACGAGGGATTTTCACCCAAACTCATATTTTGACATATAAGACCCCATAAATTCACATTTAATTTCTTTTTTGGGGAAATTCTTAATATAGATCATATCTTTTATACAAGATATTATCTATGGGGTTGTTGACTTTTCCAAGAAGTTATGACACCAAGTCATCCCCATATCCACTTTATGTCACTATTCACACCTTACATAGTCAAATCATTGTCCTTTTATGAACTACCCAACACTCCACCAGATTTCTTTCATCAAATCAACATAAAACTGTATATTCTATCCATTTCCCAAAATTCTCTTTTACTTTATCCAAAAATCAAACACATACACATACACACACACACATTCTCTCTCTCTCTCTCTCTCTCTCTCTCTCTCTCTCTCTTCCTTTTTCTTCTCTATAGAATCCAAACATCCAGCAAGTCACAAGTTCCTCCCTCACTCTTGGTAAGTTCTTCATTATCAATCTTAAATATTCTACATTCCTTCACTCAAATCATGGATTCTTACACAAATATCGTCATATTTGTTCTTAGGACCTTCAAATCCTTAAGCATTCTCCAAGTGTTCTTGACTTGGAAATCCCTTTTCTTTAACCATCCATCTTAGGAAATCAATCAAGGTGAGTTCATACCCCCTTATTTTCATGTTTCCTTCTAGGTTTATGGGGGAGAATACAAGTTACAACATAAAAAACATGCTTAAACTCAAATGACAACCTTCAAAAGAAAAGTTATGTCTCAATCATGAACTATTTTGACCATCTTAAACTCTATAACTTTCAAAATTGTTCAATATAAAATAGTTCAGGTTTATGCCTTTCAAATGACTACTTGCGCATGTTCATACGATTTTTTTACGAGTTATGGTGATTTTTACAAAACCGTCTATCACTACAGTAAAGATTTCGGACCAGTAAGTGAAAATGGTCATTTTGACACTAGTTAGGAATCATTAAAAAATCATAATAAAAATTGTGAGTATACTAGACACATTTTCTGAACTTGGTGATTTTTACAAAACTGTCTGTCACTATAGTAAAGATTTCGGACCAGTCAGTGAAAATGGTCATTTTGACACTAGTTAGAAATCATTAAAAATCATAATAAAAATTGTGAGTATACTAGACACATTTTTGAACTTCCAGAGTATACGGATTTAGATTTCGACTCACGATGATTTTTTCTTGTGATTTTTACAAAAACAGTGACAGAAAAGTAAAACTAGTTACAAACAGTTTACAAGTTTACGAACACTTTGTAATGTGTTGAGCAAAGTGTTTATCAATGATGACTACATATTTACTTGTGTTTTTTTGTTAAGTTACACTTAGATAACAGAAATACTCATTCATTATAAGGGTTCTTAGTCATTACAAACACACAAAATGAACTATAATAAGTATAGTTTATGACTTGTTAAATTACTATTCACTATGAAAAGGGTTCAATTCTCACTACAAAAGGGTTTTTCATTTCCTACATACACTCATGATAAACTATAATAGGTATAGTTTATGTTAGGGATGATCGTGGGACGGAACCGGTACCAACCCGTACCGTACCGATTCCCGAATTTCATGTATTTGGAGTACCAAGTACCGTCCTATATTTTTAAATTCGGTACGGTTCGGTACCAGTTTCAGTACGGTACCAGTACGAGATCGAGATTTAGGACAAATTAATCATCCTTAGTTTATGTTACATCAACTCTATGAACTTACTAAGGAAGGTTATATTCCTACTACCAAAAAGGATTTTCAATCACACTACACGTAAACTCGTTAAATCTGGTTGTGAGGTACTACTTCTTTGTACTCCTAGTATACCGGCTAAAATCCTGTAGTTATAACCAGAGTCTCTTGTAGGGAGAGCGTGATACTTGTATATAGATCTATATTGGGATTGACAACCCACACCTTAACTACATGCAACAGCTAGACCGACAGGTCTGGGGTGACAAATGTCAAAACATTCCGACGCCTGAAGAACGTCGTAACATGTTACTATATCAAAAGTATAGTTATAATAACTCACATAGGGAAATAACGACACACATAGTTTACAAGGATCTCTATATTCAAAAGTGTTTTATTTTTATAAAACTGCTTACACTTTTATAAGTATGGTAAAATACTTGTACAATTTGGTCTTTGGGTCTTAAGACTTACACTTTTATAAGTATGGTAAAATACTTGTACAATTTGGTCTTTGGGTCTTAAGACTGCAACTCATTTTATAAGGAAAATATTGAATTTTTCTTATGCATACACTACATTTACAAAGAAAGGTTTTCAACTCTATATACAAAAGCTTATGCACTCACCAACGTAATGGTTGAAACTCTTTCAAAATTACTTGTATTCTCAGGTAATCAATAAAAACAGGTGATTACCAGCTTTTGAGGATGGAACACTTTACGTTAGACAAAACATTTTATCATTATATTGTAATCGATTTTGAAACATGTACTCCTATAAAACCATGTAACTTTCTCGATTATATTTATGATGGTTGCAATTACTTTGATCACTATTATATTCGTTGTTGTGATACTATACATGGAGTCCTCCACCCCGGACGTTTTCGTCATCCTTGGTTTGGGGGTGTGACAATAACTCAGGGTTGTTGATAGCTCATATGATTGCTGATAACCCATAGTTGTTATATATGTTTAGCTGTGTTGTGTTGTATGTGTTATTTTGGGGAATTACTAAGTTCTGACTTATAGTTTTTAATTAAATGTTTTTTAGGTATCCCATCAGATCGTGGGAAGGCAAATGCGGGACTATATACACGCGTCAACAGTTTTATGAATTGAGATTTTACGATATTTTCTTATTAACTTTGATTTTAGATTAAAGTTTATGAACAAATGGTTTTACATTAAATGTCTTTATAAAAATGGATGTTTATTTTATTTTAAAGATAAAAAATCTATTTTGAAAATCAGAACGTTGGAGCTCCAAAATACCATATATAATCCAAAGTAAGTGGTCATTAAATATAAATAATTTGTTTGCTATTTTTCAAATACTTCATTTATATGGGATTTGGATAGATTACTTAATTTCTTTATAAACAATCTTAAGTTTAGTTTACCTGATCATAGTTATAACATAGTTATAAAAAAATCAATGTATCTAAACTTGATAGAGGGGAACAAATTAATTCCATTGTTTTTGTAGAAATAAGCAAAACCCCATATTATATGATCATGTGTAGAAAGTATATATGCAATCGGCCCTCATGAATTGTTACCATTTTTGTCTTTTCATATATCTTCATCCATGTGTAGCACAATTACAAATATACAATTTATCTATTAAACTTTTTGGTAGGACATAGATCACAATAGACGTTATTTGTTAAAATAAACAAATAACTGGTTTAAAAGATATAATATTTTTAATTATTTATTGATACAATGTTATCTTAATTTACATTAACACCCTTTACTTCCACCATTTCCGCCTTAAAAGTTCTCTGCGTCACATTTTCGGAAGAGTCTAACAAAGTTCCAAAGGATCATAGTAGCTGCACAAATAATAATAATAATAATAATAATAATAATAAAGTAACAAATGAATAACTATTATTATTACCTTTTTCCGTTATATTTGAAAATGTGACAAACACATCTTAAGAAATGGAATAAAAGATAAACGAGTCAAATTTGTAAGAAGTTGTGACCTAATAGAGAAAGCCTGACTTTCTTTATCAAGTCATTTTTACACTAAATCAAAAAGAAACAAACATATACAAATTTTTGTATTTATGTAAAATAGCAACAAGAAGTAAGTTAGTTACCTTGTTCAAAAGGACAACGATTAGGATCTTCACCAAAATATATGGCCAATGCATCAGCATTTCTACACTGTAAGTGTAACACAAACAATTTAGTAGAATAATCCAAAAAGGAATCAAGGAAAGGTGGTTATTTGACTTTTGAGGCAAATTTAGGGTGATTCATTTACCACAATGGAATAGAACTCCGTTACACTTGTCATTTCCGCCTCAGCTTGGCCAATGAACTCCTTCAATGTCTAAATATTTTAAAAAATCAGCAGTTATTCAAATGTATTATACATAATATAATAAGACGTATCTTATATAGTTTTGGATTATAATTTATACCTTACCAAAACCTTCAGACACCGGGCCATCATTTGCCGATGCAGCTAGTTCCTGTTTGACTTTTTCTAGCCCTTTCAGAATGGCTTGCATTTCTTCTGCTAAAACTTTGAGTTGTATCTGTGCAAATTAAAAAGCTTTCCATTGGTTTTATTATATACTAGTGATAAACCTGTGCAATTAAAACAGATTAAAAAATCAAAAAGTCAAACCTTGGTTGCAGCTTCTAGGCTAACAAGATCCTCATGGAAATCTAAAAGGCTTGGGGATTTGGAGGCAAGAACCTGTACACAAATGTTAATGATTAATAATTTTAACGAATTAAAGATGTCACATTTTGTATTGAGTAGTTTAGTAGGTACCTTGCAGAGATAATGCATTAAAGTCATCTTGCTAGTTGAAGATCGTGTATCAGTCAGTTTCAAAAGACTATCCAACTTGAATCCAACAGCAGCACCTGTAAATTTTGGATATTAACATCAATAAAAAAAATCTTATTTATTTATGTAATGATGTTGTTACCTCTAGCAGTTCCTTGATTTAATGTGTTCCCCAAATATAAAATTCTCTTCATGATTTCTTTCAACTTTGTGGACTTCCGCACCTCATCACATGCAGAGTTTACTGTGCTTAGACTCTTTTTGAATTCTGTAAGCTGAAACAAAATCCCAACTCAAATATAATCAAAATCAATCACTCCAAAATATTACATTAACAAATAACAGTTACAAGCTAACGAAACACAAACCAGAACGTTAAATTGAATTTTGAACATAAAAACATTCAATTTGGCCTCCATACGTGGCACCTTCATTAGGTCCAGGATATACTGCAGTAAAATTTCGTTCTCGTGAGATAAATTCTTGATAGATATCAAAACGAAATAAAAAATTATAATGTACTATGATATCGATGCTGACCTGTTCACGCTTACTCATTGTCTCAGAGTCATCAGTGAATTTCATCTGAAAAGTCACAATACAGAAGAAGATCAATACGTAAATGGGAAAGTATTTTTACGTAAGACTATTAAATACCAGGTAAATGAGTTATGGCTTCACCTTGATTTGCTCTATCTCTTCTTTCGTGGGATAGAATTTGAGTAAATCTTGTATTTGATCGGAATCTAAAAGGTTATCATTCATAGCTAAAATTGTAACCTACAGAATCCATATGAAGGATAAAGTTGCAATTATTTTAAGCCTACTTGATCGAAAAGAGTACTTACCACCATTTCAGGAAATGGCGTCTTAACTTTTGCATTCATGTGACAATGAAGAATTTCTAACACACGCTTTTTCAGATTCTCGTCTGCATTCTCATGATTCACTACAAGATTAACCAAGTTGTGCAAAGTGAAGTTATCATACTTTTGAGCTTCAGACAAACGAAGGAAATGCTTTTTGTTTCCATATCTACAAATTTCTTGTAGTACGGGTTGTTCGATATTATCAAATTTGGTGTTGGGAGGTTCTATTACCAAACGTTCCATTTCAAAACTCTTTGCTAATTCCATATCTACCCTTGAGAAACGTTGAATGTACTCTTTTAAAGCCTTTCTTACCCTAATGAGAATATCCCTATATTGTACAACTCCTTTATCAAGCTTCTCTCCAAAATATACCAACAGAAACTTCAAATCATGAGGATTCAAATGAGGAAGTTCTGCGTCTGTAAACATACTGATTGTTCCATCTCTTCTTTCAATTGTATATTCATAGTAATCAAATACCCTTTTGTACACTCTCTTATTCAAACCCATTACGTTTTGAATTCTGAATGTTGAATATACTTCGGATGCTGGTCTGTGATGCATATAAAAATCATGTTCTATCTTCTTGTAATTGGAAAATTGAGGAGTGAAAGTATGAACAACTCTGGGCATGTTTGGTTGGTTATTCAGAGCTAAAATTGCAGCCTGAAGATTAAAGATTAAGTTGCCATTAGTCAACTGAAAATGGTATACAGAAGTCAAACTGGATGAAGATGGTAACTAACTACCACCATATCGCTTCTTCTTGTAATTAAGGATGATTTGCGAGTTATCAACTCTCCTTTTATCATTAATCTACAGATAAGAATTTAGCGAGTGAGGATGCAAACTAAACATGAAGAACATAAAAAGTAAAAGGTAATTTATACTGAATTTACATTGCAGGATTACCAAGCGGATTTGCTGAGCTTCTTTAGAAGTAGCTTTTTTTGGGACTATGGCAGAGAAGAGTGTCTCAAGTTCTGATACATCAAATTCTGGCACACTGGAATAGAATATTACAAAGGAAGGTGAATTAATGACATGAGTGTGTGTGTGTGTGTGTGAAGTGAAACACAATTACACAAAAGGAGAATTAGAAAGCTTACCTTTGGGGTTCTCCATGTCTTTGCAATTCTTCCCACAAGCTTCCTTGTAATGCCCTCGTCACTTTGTTCCAATGCAATGGCTTTAAGTTAGATCTTCGTGCTCCAGATCCTCCACGTCCTCGTCCTCTACCTGGTCCCATACCTCGTCCTCCTCCTGCAGGTGGAGGTGGAGGCCCACCAGGAGGTCCAGGTGCTCCAGGTGGTGGAGGAGATCCAGGTGCTCCAGGCGGCGGTGGAGGTACAGGAGGTCCACGTCCTCCTCCGGGTGGCGGTGGAGGTGGAGGTGCTCCTCCATACAACCGTGGAGGTGGTGGAAGTGGTGCTGTAGGTAGTGGAGGTACTCCTGCATGCAACGGTGGAGGTGGAGATTTAGGTATTCCAGGAGGTGGCGGTGGAGGCGCTCCTCTGTACAACGGTGGAGTTGGTGGAAGTGGTGCTGTAGGTGGCGCTCCTTCATACAACGGTGGAGGTGGTGCTCCATACATTGGTTGATGTGGGGCTTCATACATCGGTGGAGGTAGTGGTAACCCTAAACCACCACCAGGAAACGGTGGAGGAGGTGGAGGTGGTGGCGAAGGGGACATCGTCCACCACTGCCGGAGCCTTCTAATCATGCATGAGCTTGAAACTCACATTTGGGAATTAAGGTAATTGTTTTGTTATTGGTTACAAAATTCAGCAAAAAATGGACGTGAAATGTTACGTACCAAAAATGTTCGATTCCCCAATTTCGCCTCACAAAAATGTCGGCAATGTCTTGTCATAGAGAAACCGATCTTAAAATCTTCCAATTTTTGTTTTCAATTAACCAACCAGTTATATCAATGCGATGATGGAAGCTTTTCAATTCCAAACTTCGATTCGCCGATCAATGAAAAGGATTTGTATTGTGATTATGAGGAATTCGATGATTTGGGTGGGAAAAATTGCAATTGATTCTGGGAGTTCGTCACTGGAATTCTTTAATTTCTGTTGTACACACGCACGTATGTGTTGCGTGAGAATTGGGATATGTGTAAAAGTTGGTAGAACAAACAAATATATTGATTGTTTTCCTTGTGCGCGATATAACGACGACGGATATTTCCGCTTTATTCCGTCGTTAAAATATTAACCACGATCCATATTTCCAAATACATGGCTACCCATTCATTTTACGACGGATATATTTCTATACTAGGTTAAAACCCGTGGGTTAAACCCGTGGAACGGGTGCTGTTTTTGAATTGAATTTAAAAATTAATTATTTAATAAAATATTATATCAATAATTCTGATAACTTATAAATTGTAATATTGAATATTTAAATAATTTTTTTTATTGGTAATTATTTAATTACTAACTAAATGGGAAGTATTTAATTAGGAATGAAGATTTTTGAAAACTATTTTTTTTTATTCATCATTCTAATTGGACATATGCAGATGATACAATACCAATGTGTGTAATGAAATTAACATAAAATACAACAATACGTAATTATAAAAAAATACAGTAATATGATGGATTAAGTGTGATTTCCTAAAATTGAATAAAACGACGTTACAAAAAAGTTGGCTACAAATTTCGAAAAACTTCCTTATAAACAACATTGGAAGTTTTATTTGTGAGTTTGTCATCTTTATCTAAAATTAATAATTTTAATCTCTCTCTACTCTGAACTCTAGATAAGGCAACATACAATTGTCCATGTGAAAAAACTGGATCTTTCAGAAACAGACCAACCTTTGACAACGATTGTCCTTGACTTTTGTTAATAGTCATTGCAAAACATACAGCCAAAGGAAACTGTCTTCTTGTGAATTTGAAGGGAATCTTTTTTTCTGATGGAGTTAAAGACATTCTTGGAATAAAAGTCCGATTTCCAATATTAGTTCCAGTTATTATACGTGCCTCAATAACACGTTTGCCCAATGATAACACCTGTAGTCTTGTGCCATTACATAAGCCGTTTTTCTGATCAATATTTCTCAGTAACATTACTGGAACACCAATTTTTAAAACTAATTTATGATTTGGTAAACCGGATACTTTGAGTCCATTTAATACATCAGGAGAGTATAGATTTGCATCAAATTGATCATGGAGAAATTCGGATTCACATATGCAGTCTGAACTTAAATATTCAACTTGATCTCCTGGAAACTTCTTAAGTAAACGGTCGTTTATTTCCTGGACAACTTCATTTTTTGGAGCAAGTATCGCTCTTTCTTGGAAATAATTTATATCGCTATAGTACTCTAAAATTGAAGGATATACAAACTCAATTAAGGAACCTATAGGATCATGTGAATCATTAATGAGAATATCATCCGGAATATCGATAATCGTTTCACCGTCGTTCGGACCACCAAGTTTTCCTTCTCCTATATCCAACAACCAATTTGCAAAATCTCTTATTTTTCCTATATCTGATTGATCCCTTCCAACAGTTAGCCTCATGTTTTTTGTTAATCTATGGACTTTGCAATGTTCCCATAAATATGAAGAACTCAAAGAAGCATTTACAATGTTCTGTCTACTGCCACCCGGCACAATAGGTAGAATTTGTCTAAAATCTCCTCCAAAGACAATAACTTTCCCTCCAAATGGAATATTTGAGATGGTTGAATTTACGCACCTTAATAAATCCTTCAAAGTTCGATCTAAAGCTTCAAATGCATGCTTATGGACCATAGGTGCTTCATCCCAAATTATCAAAGAGGTTTTCCTTATTAAGCTTGCCAACTCACCGTCTGGATTTATGTTACAAAAAGAATCCTCTGTAAGCTCAAATGGAATTATAAATCGAGAGTGTGTGTTCTACCACCGGGCAATAATAAGGAAGCAATACCACTTGAAGCAACATTTAATACAATATTTCCTTCAGATCTAATTGCTGCAGATATTGTTTTCCATAAAAAAGTTTTACCCGTTCCACCATACCCGTAAACAAAGAAGACACCTCCTTTATTTTGTTGAATAGCACTCTTGATGTTTAGGAAAATGTTCCGTTGCTCATTTGTTAATGCAAGAAACATACGATCATAGTCATTCTTTATCACGGGAATGTCGTAATCTAGTTCCTCGGTGATAAGTCGATTGTTTGAAGAAGAAACGGATTCAACATCTGGGTATGGCATGTTTTTGAAGTTTTTGAGAGTAGAGTTGTTTCGAAGTAAAATTTGTTGTATTTCGAACAAAGTTAAGTTCTTAAGTTCATCTACTCCGAGAGACAATTCTGCACGAAAATATTAAATAATTAATAAAATACGTGGTTGATATTTAATAATTTCATTACTAATTATTTAATGGGTGTTGAAAAATAAAAATAAATTAATTTTAAAAAATAAGAAAAAATGTAATACCTGCTGACTTAAATCTTCGTCGTTGGCTATATAGAATTCCATCTGCCAAATATTCCCATGTATTTTCCCAAACGATCTCTGGTTTAGACATACTATTACACATCAACAATGTAGCAAATAAAAAGCGTAGATAAAAACCAGATCCAGAATGACTTGCTTCTTTAATTGCATCAATGTATTCCTTGTCATCATCTAATAGCCCGAGTGCATAACAGGCATCTCTAAAAGAAGAATGTGTTTCTCCATTTACTGCGAATTTCATCAAATGATGTTGGTCCTTTTACTTTATTTAAAAGAATCCTTAAGAAATATGCTTCACCTAGTTTAGGTGAAACTGAATGAATTCTACCGATGGCTTTTCCTACTTTCCTTCGCTTCCAAAACCGACCATTTAATATCCAAACAAACTTTGTAGGGAATTCAACATATGTGAGTTTTCGTGCTTCACTGTCGATTGCATTACACTCCATCCAAGCTGTGAACTTTGAAGCGGCAACAGAAGGTTTGTCAAGAACATCATCAATATCATCATCTTCGCCATATACAATCTGTTGTTGATTAGGAAGATGAAAAGGTAGTCTAACAACAGAAGGATATCTGCAATGAACATCATATCTAAAAATTCGCCATGATGCTTCACATGCTGATAAATATCTACAATCGTAATATTCAGCTATTTCATCGACCGCATCATTATTTTCACATTCATTGTTGGTTGGTACAACAGCAACTGTAGCTCTATCAGGACCCTTATTTATGTATTTAAACAAATACTTTATAGAAGATCCCTGATTGCACCATTCAATATTAATATGTGCCTGATATCTTTTCAATAGATATTTGTTGTATGGAACAACATTTCTATTATCCAACCTTACACCTGATTTTTCTACAAAATGACCATCGTTTCTTCGCCTATATAACGGAAAACCATTCTGATCAACAGACGAATGATTAATGAATTGTTTTGGAAAGTTTTTAGAGCACTTTTTATCCACCATGCATGGACAATTCATATTTTCAGCTCCACATGGACCATGAATCATAAACTCATTTACAAGTGAATACAATTCAGGATCTTCAATTCTGTCTGGTATCTCTGCTGAAATTATTGGATCGATAAGTTCAACAGTTGGTAGCTTGTTGTCAGAATGCATGAATAGACATATATGACTATGCGGCAAACCTCTTTTTTGAAATTCAATGGTATAAACATCTGTAAAAGAATTTGACAAAAAATAAAAGAGAATGTGATTAGATATCAAAACATATTTAAAATATAATAATAAGATCAATGTTTTATAAAAAAATTAAAAATATAGTTTTAATTACATGCTTGAACTTTGCCGAAAATTTGATTCTCCCTTAAGTCTTTAATGAATGCATCAAGCTTGATCTTAAACAACCTACATAGTATATCAGGTCTGTCTTCTGGTTGAAGTGAAGTATCCTTAAGAAACCTTTTAATCTCAGGCCATTTGGGATTACACGTAAAGGTTATGAAGAAATCAGGATATCCAAACCATTTACATAGTGACATGGCATCCAAATAGTTTTGCAGCATATAGCGTGCACCTCCGGTAAAGGATGAAGGTAATATGACACGTTGGCCGACATTCGAGATATCAGTCGTTCCTTGAGCTTTTTGGTTACGTAAATTTTCATAAGAATCACATCTAAGAACATGTTGTTGCCTACGTATGTAGTACATTCTCTCCGTTTCCATCATAGTATAGGCATCTACCAGAAATTGTTGAAACAACCTTCTTGAATTAAGTATGAGAGAGAACGAATGATCTCTGTCTTGAATCCTATAAGCGAAATATTCTCTCATTGTACATTTCGCACGCTTGCTGTTGGTCGTAAATGACACACCTCTATGAAGAATGTCAACACTATAACCATCATCCCCATATGGAAATAGCAATGGATATTGGAGAGGAAGGTACGAAGGATGCAATTCACTGATACGTTGTAGACAACCATTTTTTGTTTGAACGACGATATCCCTCTTTTCGATTGAATCCGAAATGTCACCAATTATTAAAGCAGCAACCTCAGAAGCAGTCGGTAGGTTATATGTTCTTCCATCTTGCTCCCTTCTCCCGATAAGTCGTAATTTCATATCAACTTCTGGATTTTTTTGAAAAGTATCTCTTACCATTCTATAAGATCTAACCAAGACATTATTTGAATCCAACATCACCTTAATATCTTTAACAATATCACTATCAGTTGATGTTGATTGATCTTTTTCACCACTAAAATAAATAAATTTATACATAATATTAGTAATATATACATAATATATATATATATATATATATATATATATATATATATATATATATATATATATATATAATAATAGATTATGAATAAGAAGTTTGAGAAAATACCGAAAACATCTTTGTCTATTTGTAATTTCGTTGTCAGTGTCATAAATGTATAACTGAGAGAATTTTGGTTCCGATCCTTTTGCTGGCAAAAGACTTCCAATACTATGATAATTTTGACCACCCAATCTGAAAATGTAAGGAGCGTTTCCTCTATTGATTGAAGAGTCAATTTTACCACCCATCGACGTGAAAGAAAACATTGAATTGTAACGTCGAATGTTTTTCATGAAGTGTTTGCTTTTTGAATCCATATTTCGAAACATTCTTTCATAAGTAGGGGTGCATTCTTTAAGTCTGGAAGTTGAACTTTGCCGTAACCACAACATAATGAATAATCCGTGTTCCCATTTTCTTTACCTCTAATGGATTCATTTCTCCATAACTTTGCACGACATGTTTGACATACAACATCTTGATCACCATGATCCAAATATTCTGTAAAATAAAAGCGTTGAATAAAATATCAATGAATTTTATAATTATATAGAACATAGTATCTGAAATGTAAAATGGATTTTATTTTTTCATTACCATTTGAGATACCAACTATACGATTTTCATTGTTCACTTGATGTATATTTTCTACATCTTCTGTCAAATCAATCAATGGGATAGGGGATAAATGTCTTGTCTTCGTTTTTAATTTATGACATCCTGGATTTAACTTGATTGATGATGAAGAAGTTGTTACTGTAGATGCATTTTTTGATGTCATATCATTTGAAAGTACATGGTACTGTCTTTTCTTTGCTAACTTGGAAGTGATATATTTATCGAAACCAATGTTATCTGAATAAAATAAAAATAAAATAGTTAACTAAATAAATAAATATTTACATAATGGATAATAGTATATTTTAAAAACCATAAATAATTACCATTCGTAATGTTAGATAACGGATTTATAACATTTGTAATGTTAGAAAATGGAGTTCTAACATCTGTAAAGGAAGGACAGTATTGTATGGTTGTGTTATGCTTTGCAGGTGTTGTAAATGAATTGACATTTTGAGTTTGACGAACAATGTTGGTTGATTGATCTGCAAATAGAAATAACTTATAAAACTTGTAAATATATGTATTCAACTATATAACAGTAAAAGATGGAATATAAAATACTAATACGGTTATAGTTAATGGTTTTTTTGAAGAGATGCTGTAATGATATACTTGGAACGTTTGATATTGTTTTTATTTTCTTCGATCTTTTATTTTCCAAATATATTTTTCTTTGTCTTCTTTTCTCTTTGGCCTGCATGTGGTACATGTTACTGTTGTTTTCTGCATAAGAAGACATAGGTTAGGAAATGAAATGTGAAATTATGTACATAATATGTTTATATAATACAATTGAAGTTAGTTAGAATTAAATAAATAATGATAATAAAGTAAATGTATTTAAAAAGTTACCTTTATTAATTTGTTTATTAAAATGTTAGCATCATGACTCATCATCCTCATTTCCAACCTAGGGTTTATTCGATTTAAATCTACTGTTTCCCCAATTTCAACCAATCGTGGGTTCGGATGATATCAGGGGTTAAAACCCTAGATCTCCATGGAATCAATGAAGGTAAAATTGTGTGATACACGATAATCGTGATGATTATAAATTGCTTATTGATCTTATGTATCTATTCAAGATTATTTTTTTACAATTAGAAAAACATCTATTCCAGCATATTGATTATTGTTGTAAATTTCAACCATAAATTCATAGAGAAAACAAAGTGATCTAAACTGATAATACTAACCTGACATATGGATATGGAAATCTTGCAGGTAGAACTGGAATGAGGATTACAACTTTAATGAAGCAGTTTGATGTAAGCTTAATGAAAAAAAAAATCGCAGAAACAATTGAACATTAAGAAGACGAATGAGGTGTTTCAAAATTTTGGATTTCACGTTTTGAGGTAAAGTTATATGCTTGAATATTGGAAAAAGATTACGATTATATGATTTTATTGTTGTTGGATCTTTATTAGATATAATTTTCTTCCTGATTTTTTGGAATTTAAAAGATTACAACTAAAAATTAGTTTAATATTCAAATTTCATCTAAAAAAGGAGTATAGAATATTAGGAAATAGTTGGTTGAATATAGGTTATTTACAGAAGATAAGTAAATATGCTGCAACCATTACAAAAATGTATGAATTAATTTTAGAGAATCAAAGATATAAATTTTGTTTACAATTGGTTATTGATTATTTATTAAAAATAACATATTTATCGTGACAAAAATAATAGTTATTCTAAATAATAGACATAAATGTTCCATGTTTAAAATAATCAACATAAAGATGCGAAGGTGATTATGGTTAATATTCATTATTGGAGTCAAATGCAGTTCACGTGTAAAAGCAAAAATGTTCGCATTTGGTAATACAAATCAAAATTGGGTTTCGCATATGAGGTTGTATGGATTGGGGTTAAAGATGCGAAGGTGATTATGGTTAATATTCATTTCGTATTTGGTGAGACAAACAACTCAAATGCGAATGAACTAAAAAAAAAATGACTGGAACATGCGAAGAAAGAGGGTGAATGAAGAATGTGAATTTTACAGTAGAATGCGAATTGGGGAAGAAAGCTAAGAATTTCGCATTTTTATTATACAAATTGATTGATTGATTGATTTGTCTTAATTGTTAATTGCGATATATGAAATACTTATCAAGTTAGGGGCAATATGGTCATTTTGAAGTAAAAGAAGCCTTGGTTATTAAATGAATCATACGAAGGATCTGTTATTTGATTTTGGAATTGGGGCGAATAATCGAACATTTGGAGTTGCGAATTTGATTTTGAAAAGCCAATCAGTTGGGTTCGCATATGAAAACAGATAAGTTTTGATTTTGGATTCGCAATTGGGTTAATTGGGTTATTGATTGAGGGACGATTCGTGAAGAAAAATGCGAAGTCAAGAAGGACTGTGAAATGTGATTTGTTCAATATTGGAGTCAAATGCAGTTCACGTGTAAAAGCAAAAATGTTCGCATTTGGTAATACAAATCAAAATTGGGTTTCGCATATGAGGTTGTATGGATTGGGGTTAAAGATGCGAAGGTGATTATGGTTAATATTCATTTCGCATTTGGTGAGACAAACAACTCAAATGCGAATGAACTAAAAAAAAATGACTGGAACATGCGAAGAAAGAGGGTGAATGAAGAATGCGAATTTTACAGTAGAATGCGAATTGGGGAAGAAAGCTAAGAATTTCGCATTTTTATTATACAAATTGATTGATTGATTGATTTGTCTTAATTGTTAATTGCGATATATGAAATACTTATCAAGTTAGGGGCAATATATTTTATTTGAGTTATAACCAAAATCAACTAACTTGTCCAATTTAAAACAATAAAAGTATCCAAAAATATTCAAAACCAATAATATTTGACATCCTAAATACCCCAAAATAAAAATCATACCAAGCAATTAAAATATCTTTATAACCAAAACAAATGATCAAAATATATTAAATGTGTCTTATAACCGATAGAAACTCACTTTTCAATTTTTGGAATCAAGAGTGGAGTTTCCTCTGCGGTTGACTTTCTTTTAGCCTTAGTTGAACTTAAATCATATCCAGAATCAACATCATAAATTTCTTGGAGGTTGCGCTTCAAATCACCTGATATTTTGCAAGGACTTGTTGCGGTTGACTTATCAACTGTTGAGGGTGTAAAACTTTCGTCTGTTTGTGAGATCACATCCTAATTTAAAAAAAAAAATGTTTGATTCCTAAAAAAAATAACTAATATAATTAAAAGTTTATAAAATAAAATGAAAAACCTTTTGAACAGGCTGTACAACATCATCGGATTCCAAAGCAACTTGATTTAAGGAGACAGATTGATTACTCTAAAAAATAAAATGGAAATATGTTAATCGTTATGTACTTTAACATTAAAGAATTGTAAATTTTCAACAATAAAAAATTACATACCATAAGTTCTATTTTACTTTCCAATTCACAAACAAAGGACATATCTTCTGTAACTCTGAGAACTGTGTAGATGTTATTATAGTTGTTGACATTGTATTCTGTAATATCTACAACAAAACCAAACTTGCGGTTTTTCAACACATTAAGTTGCATTGGAAATAGGGCATACTGTCTCCGGCCTGTAAGATATATTTTAATAAATTAAAAAAATTAAGTAAATGTTTTCTGATTTTAAAGGTATGAATAATATACCGCATCATGTATCTTTTTCAACTCGTAGGCACTTATATTTAACAACCTCCTTGCTTCCCTATCAAAAAGAGTCAATCCAATGGTTCCAGTACAATCTTGTACGTTAATTGGAATTATATACCTAAAACAAAAAATAATTATGTCATTGTTAGTGTTGTTTTAAGATTGACAAAATTAATAGAAATAAATATGTCTATACTTTATAACTGACTGAAATTCAGATTTTTTGTATTGTGCATTTGTACACTCGACAACCATAGTTTCTGAAATTCCCTCAGGGTTGGTATACGAATGATTGGTTTTGGGAACAGGGATAATTTTTTTTCCACATTTTTTGCATGCTTCATAATACCATGGTAGATTTTGCCTTATATTAACAATGGAAGCAACTAATAAAAACTTTATTTCCTGTATCATATAAAATGTAAAAATTATTAAAATAAATTATGCAAAAATAAAATGTAAAACATATAAAATAATGCAATATACCTTAATTGGTTCGGTGATCTCACAGATTGTTTTTAATGGAAAATTGCCCTTAAAGTCATCTGTATATGAAGAAGAGTAGCTTTGAAGTGTAGTTATGCTTTTTTCAGTTATACCGAAATTGTCATGACATTTCAACCTGTAATGTTTAATTTAGATTCATGAATATTAGGTTTTGTGTTTTTTTTAAGTTAAAATACATTATAAAAAAATAAAAAACAATTGGAAACTAACTTATTTTTAAACTCATTTATTTCATAAATGTCAGAATTTATGAACAATTTCGTTACTTCAAAATGACTTTTAGCTTCACCAAGACCTGTAAAAAATGTATATCCAATTATTAAAATTATATAAAAACAGTAATTATAAACATCTATATATAAAGACTGAATACAAACCATTCCAAATGTTTAGCTTCAAAAACTGCATCACGATAACAACAAAATTAACAGTCGGGTTATTTTTTAGGTATTCTGAAATTTGATATGCTTGACTTCCAAAAATAGTAACCTTCAGATGTACAGAACTAAATAAACCATAAAATAGTATATTAATATTAATTTGTGATTAATTAAAGATAATAAATAATAAATAAATAATACAATATAATCTCACTCTAGGTTGCTAAGAGTGACTTTTATATAATGCTTGGATGGTACTGGATTTGAAGTTTCAAGAGGCCTAAATGACACGATATGTCCAATAACATCTACACAACAGATACCACAAAAAAATAAAAGTTTAGGATTAAATTCGTAATATTTAAATAATAAAATGTATAACCAAAAAAACAAATGATAAAAAATGATTTTATTAATATTTTATGACTAACCAAAGAATGTGTCTTTTGGGCATGTTTGTTCTATGATAGAATTAAAGTCAACAAACATAAATCCATTGACCGGACCCGAGAAATCATCACATTTTTTTAGGATGCTTTTCCAATCCAAAGTTAAGGTCTGTTTATGACCTGTATAACTAAAACCATTAGTAACAGCAACCATATTGGGTTTTATAACTATATAACTTTCATCTTCCTTTAAAAGATGACGAAATCTGGAGAAATTCTGATTGAAGACACGAGCTTGGTATTGTGTACCCTGTTTAAAAAAAAATTAAAAATTATTATGTTCATGAAACATGTCTAATATTGAATGATGAATAAAAAATATATCAAATACAACAAACCTCCTCATCCATGATGATCATTTCAATGGAACAAACTTTATTATTTCTGACAAAGTTCCAAATTTTAAGCACCCGAACCTTGATATGCGATTTTTCATCTATCTGGTCAATGTTATTTAGGTAAACCTTATTTCCTATTTCCATTTTCTGCAATAAATTTAATCATTATAGAATTGTAAGGAAAATTAGCAACCTTTTAAATTAACAGCAAATCAAAGTAAATGAAACAGCAAAACAAAAAAAAACATATTGTAATAGTTAAAGCTTTGAAGAACAGTTTTTTTTAAAGAAAATAAAGTTCTCATTTTTATTACTAATTTCGTATTTTGTAATCATTTTCATCACTATTTACGTCTTTTAAACTGAAAAGGTAGAAGAAGAAGATGATTAAGAAGAATTAGGAAAAAGAAGAAGACAAACATCACTAATAAAATGAAAAAATGATAGAAACTGATAAATCAGACCATTAAGAGCATAGAAATATTAGTAATCCTGATATTTTAATACACTAACCTGATATTTGATTTTTTAAGCGTTGCAGAATCAAGAAGAATAAAGAAGAATAATTTTGCAAAGATTACTATGGAGCAGAATGGTAAAAAGAAAAGAACCGTATGAATGGTATTTACATTTGAAAAGTTTTTATGAATCAATAAGAATCAAGAAGATTATGTTTGCAAAGAATAATATTGCAGATTTTTAGGGATTTAATTTGCAATCAAAATAAACAAACTTTCAAAATTAATCGGGTTTTTCGAATCTGAATATTAATTAACATATTTTTTCAATGTATTTCCATATCTTTTATTCATTTAAATTTTTTGGTTGAATATTTTGAAAGGATTTGTTTGCAGATTTTTCCGGAATTATTGAATTTGGATTGTATGGCATTTACGTAAATATAGATGAATAAAATGAACGGGAAAACTCTATTTTGGAGGTCTTATAGATTGACACGTGGCAGAGTTCTACTTATTTATTAGAATTAGGATCTGTGTGTGTGATGTTTTGTTGTAGTGGTAAATCCCATATTTATTTCATCTTCTGTTGCGAATTTTATATTTAGCTTGTTCATTGTAATAAAACAATATAGGAATGAGTTACTTTAGTTAACGAATATAAATACAAATACAATAAAATAAATTATGAGTTCTCATAATTGTAATTTTTTTACAAAGATTAAAATATAATATTTTTTTATAGCAGAGTATTATTTATAAGAGCCGTACGTATGACATGTTCTAAGCATTTTAATTTATTTTATTATCTTGCCTTTATATTTTTGGTCTCAATATTCTAGTCTTACTATTAATATGTTTCATACGAATCCAAAATTTTTATGTATGCAACTGACAATTATAACTTTGTTTTACTAGATTATTTATATAATATATTTGTGTTGAAATATCAGCTTCTAGAGGGGATTTTGACTTTTGATGTAGCATGCAGGAATAATTAGAATAAGAGGCATAACAAGCTTCTTCATTTTTGGGTTTGGACAAACACTAGTTTAATTAATTATGATGTAAATTAGGTTCGATTTTAAGAATCTTAAACTATGTGTAATAGTTGGGATGATGGACTTAGTGGTATGCATCTAGTGATGAATCCAAATTACAATTCACTTATGTCCAAGTTATCGAGAGGTGATTCATGTTTTATATTGTACTTTAAGAATCATATTTTTTTTAGAAATCCATTCACTAAATCTTCATTCGTGAATTTTACATAAAAATAACAAAAACTTAAACAATTAATACATGAATGAACTAAACAAACATTTATAAACAGACTAGTAAACCAAACAATAAAAAATGAACTGGACAAAATTTATAAACAAAAAAAAAAGAGCAAGCACACAAGTAAAAGTAAAAGGAATTAACAATTAACTCAGAATTGACAATTCAATGTAAATAAACTATATTAACTCAAAAGTCACCAGAGAGCACAGAGCACCACGTGAAGACTATATCTACTATCCAGATGCAGATAATTAATAATAATAGCTATAGAAGATTCCCGCTTTGCGGGATCGGATATGCCAAAGGAATGCACATAATGGAAACATTTTGTCTTATCTTGTTTTTACCCGTTTTTTGGACGAAACAAATTATATCACTTTGAAGTTCATCAAAATTCCAGCAGGTGAAAAGAAAAGTGTGTAACACGTGAAGCTGTTCCAAACCCAAGGGTAAATTTGGAATGTTTTTGGGTTGTATTTGATTAATATACAAATCTTATCTAAATGGATGGCAAACGCCGAGCAACATAATCACCAAACATTCACACAACTTTCTGATCGTTTTCTATACCTGTATCTTTAATAACCGCCATGATAGGAATCTAAAAGAAAAGCCAAACAATTGCTTATTTTTTCAAGTAAAATGACTATGAAATGATATAAATAATTAGTTTTAATAAAATCATAGTGCAATGTTATATTTGGTTATTATGTGATAGCAAATAATCGTAATTAATCACATATTTGAATGCGTATCATCTACACAATCAAAAGGATAATCCAACAAGATATACAAATTTTAATAAACTTTTATTATGCTAAATTTTGTAATTTTGTACATATCTACGTATATTATAAAAAAGTTAAATGAAAATTCATTCTCTTCTTACTGGCTAACAAAATATGATTATTACCAAAGGACTTGTAGCTCAGCGGTATCAGATGGTGTCATCCCTCTTTGAGGTCGGGGGTTCAAGTCCCGTCGTAGACATATGTGTAATAGGTGTTGTTAGCTAATGAGTAGATTAGATTTGTCGGTTCAAAAAAAAAAAAAATATATGATTATTGAATGTAATAACTGCATTACATTACCTTGTCCATTCTATTCATTCTTCATTCCATTACATCCATCAAATCAAACCCCTAAAAGGAAATTCTTGTAAACCAATACCTCATAAAAGGGTGAGCTAAAAAAATTAAATTAAAAGGGTAAGATGAGAATTCTGCTCACCAATTGTAAAGATCTGAAACTTTTTGCAAAGTTATGGTTTCAATATCAAGGAATGTGATTTTCTTTCCGTGATAATTCAAACAAATTCCCAAAAATTCATCTAAAAGAGTAATTACAACTAAAACTGTAAAAAAAATCATGCATAAACTATGAATAATATCATTAGAAAAGCCAAAAAAATAAAAATTACTAAACATAATCACCTTATATGTTATGAAAGCTGACTTACTGGAATCAACAATTCCACAACGCTATCATTTAGCCTAAATTAAAAGGAAAATAATTTCAAGATCATCCCAAAGAGGTTTACCTTCATCTAAATCTTCAACCATAATAATTCCAGGCTCTTCATCAATCAACTTAGATTTTTAAACCCGCAATAAATTAAAATAAGTAATCACTTGATCTTTCTCTTTTCGTGATGGTGGTTGAAAGTAGAATGCTATAAGTGGGAAGATTTTTCAAGAAGAAATTTGAAAGTAGAAACTTGTAATAGATTTTTTTTTTTGTAAAATACTATATAAATTAAGGAAGATTGTTATTAGTTGCATTTAGCTTGAATTAACCGAATATAGAACATACAGTTGAGTAAAAAATTGCATAATTTTCGTCTTCACCAGGAAATCCGTCAATAACAAATTTGTCATTCTGATTTTAAAAATGTGATTTTTCAAAAACTTTGTCCATACCCGAAGTGTTGTACAATAATTGCACACTGGATATCGTTACCACTGCCTAGGCTTCCTGCTGAAAATGATATAAAAATGACTCATTTTCTTTTAAGAAATAACATTATACATTTACATTGGCGTTAAAGCCAGAGTACTCACCTAGGACAAATATAACCTTGGCCTTCTTTCGAATAAAAGACTTTAAGTTGCTTTCTGCAATCATATGAACATAATTATTTGGACTGAAAAAGTCGTAGAAGTAAAATATACTGATAATGAACGAATAAATATTGGTAAGAGGCTAAGGAAATGACAACAGAAGAGGGTAAAATCTATTGAAATAGTTATGGATGTTGTAATTGGTGAATTTTGAAACTGTGCTGATCTAGAATGAAATATAACAAAAGTAATAAAAACTTGGGAAGAACCATATTTATGAACTAACATAATGCCCTGGATTCCCTGCACATCAGCAACAATCTAGATAAAATATTAGGGTTAAGTTATTGAAATGACAACCTACTTCTCCAATTGTTTCATCCTAGTTCACTAATGTTACAAATTGCACACATTACATATTATTAACTAAAATAAAAATTAAAATATGAGTACACTATGTTGGGCAAAAAATAAAATACAATTCACATTAATTATGATTGTGATTAAGATAGACTACAATTGTAACCATATATGAAATGCCAAAATAGAATCTTAACCTATCCCCTTTAGACACATGAGCCTAGCATGAAGATTTGAGTTTTAAGCCTTTATGCAATCTATGCTCCTCAGATATCACAATTGCTTTCAAGATATCACATGAAAGATCTTCGTGAACCCAAATAAAGAACTATAACCATAAACAATAGTAGAATGTTCATCAAGGATAGTTCAAAGATTATATTAAAAAAAGTATTTTAGATCCTACTGGAGGTGACATAGTTGCGTAAACTTAAGAGTCATTGGATTTATGGCAACCTTATTCAGATAATACATATTGATGGAAAATTTAGAGAACAAAAAAATCAAATTAGCTAATAAACATATACCCAATTAAAATAAGATGATACATATCGATGTAAAATTCTGAAAATTAAGAGAACCAAAAAATTAATCTAACATATATCAAAAAACAAGGAAAAGAAGAAAGCTCGAAAGCGGCAAAATCGTCAATGCAAAAAACAAAAAATTTGATTTTTTTTCCAAAGTCGGATCCACGAAATTTACATAACCAAACCCTAGTTTCCAAACGTACCTAGATTTGTCTTATAAGGCATTGGAGTGGCGGTGATGGTGGAGGAAATCGGTGGTGTGGCAGAGGAAATCAAAGTGGGAATAATAAATTTACAAACACAAATACCCAGGATAATAAACAAAACAATCAAGTTATCCATATTAATATATGAAAAAAAAATCCTAAATTTTTGAATGGAATTTGATAGAGGGAATAAGAGAGATACATGCATTTAACAATGGCACAACCTTTGACAAGTTCAACACAATGTCTACGGGAACCTCATCCATTGATTCCTCTTGGAAAGAACACCAAAAGCGATGTCATTTCGATCCCACATTTCACCACTCTCCTCGCACCTATACCCAGAATGCCATGTAACCTTACATTAGAAATAGAATACTTTCTTACAATTAGGACATACATATTGCTTTAAATTACCTTCGCCACCACACTCGTTGATAACCAAAGCCGAAAAATCTTTGTTAGGGCAGTAAGCTCGATCATGACCTAGGACTGCCGACTCGTAGGGTACATCACACTATTTGTCGAACAGTTGGTGTGAAATCTTTGGGCGACATGAGAGGGGCTCGAGGGAGTGATCGCAAGTGAGAGCTGGACATTTGATGTCTGATACATTGTCCTCGAGCTTCACTTGGATGTATTTGATCATACA